GGTGAAGCTGACTGTTAAGATGAATTATCACAACATAAGCAGTGGGCTACCCATTAGATGAAGTTATCTATAAGGGAGAGGTCACTCTTGAGAGCATAGGGCTATCTGAGGTGGACTTTGGGTCTCTCATGGGCAGAGTTATCAATAGCAGCAATAGCGGCCGCAATCTCAACGGAGAGGCCCTCTCCCACGACAGAGACCCTGTTGCGTCGCGAATAGCGGCAGAAAACTCCGAAAATAGAGGATGGAGCGGCTGCTATCCCATTCTCCAACGTTTCCGTTTTTTCCCCTCATCTTTTACCGTTGGGGCCCTTTAAGGGGGGCAATTTTGGAATTTCGACCCCCCCTTATATTTCTGAATCATCTTCTTCTTCAACCCTAGCCTCCGTCAGCTCTCCTCTCTTCTGTTCTTGGTTCTCTCTCCTCTGTTCTTTGTTTTCCGGTCATCCTCTGTTCTCTATGCTCTGTTTTTCCGACGAGGCTTCCACTTTGATTTTCTGGTCATCTTCTTCGTCTCCAGCGAGCTTCTAAGGTGACCCAAATTATTTTGAGTCATTTTCTTCATCTCTTGTCATCTTCTTCAAGGTCAGCACAACTTTTGACATCACTGAAATACTTTCCGGTCATCTTCTCCAACTCTGGCAGACTTCCGGCGAACTTTTTGGTACTGAACAATTTTTTTTTCCCTATATTTTTCTCTGGTTTTTTTCTCGTCTCTGTTTTGATCCTTCTATTATTTTCTGTTCGAAATTTTGAAAGCTTAAAGAAGAAGTAATGGCTACTCCTCCCAATCAATCACAAGGAACTAACTCTGTTTCGATTTCATCCTGTGCATTAGTGAAGCATTTAGGAAATAATTTGGATATAGGTTGACAATGGAATAGTTTGAAAGACAAATAATAAAAAGTCTGTTACTTGTGACTTTTGTGGAAAAACGACTACAGGCGGTATTACCCGAACAAAGAGGCACCAGATGGGAGTGAAGGGAAATGTTGATAAGTGTCCAAGGATTTCCAAAGAAATAAAAGAAACACTGATAGCAGCTCATGAGAAGAAGAGAACTGAAAAAGAGGTATATTTACTTCAGCATGATGAAGATGATGATGAGGAAGAAGAGGTGCAAGAAATTCAAAATATTCGTAGTGGAAAACGACTTTCAACCTCAAGTGTTACATCAGCTTATGTTAGTGGTTGTAATGCCACCAAAAAAGGAAAAAATGTCAAGGGCCCATTGGATTTATTGTGGTTAAAGAGTCCAAAAACAAGCATCAAATTAGCAAAATTAAAAAGACAAACAAGTATAAATGATGCTTGTATCAAAGAGGCAAGAGCAAGAACAATTCAATACATAGAGAGATTCCTTCGTAGGAATGGAATTGCTTTCAACGTTGTGCGCTAAAAAAGTTTCAAATTAATGGTTGAAGCTATAGGAAACTATGGTCTACATCTAAAGCCTCCTAGTTATCATGAGTGTAGAGTTCCTCTTCTTAAAAAGGAATTAGAGTATACAAAGGAAATGTTGAAAAGTCGTGAAGAAGAAAGAGAAAAAAGTGGATGATCAATTATGTCAGATGCGTGGACGGATAAAAAAAATAGAACATTGATCAATTTCTTAGTAAATTGTCCAACTGATTCTATGTTTGTAAAGAGCATTGCTGCATCTGCTTATATGAAAATTGGAGAAAAGTTGTTTGAGCGCTTGGATAGCTTTGTTGAAGAGATTGAAGAGAAAAATGTTGTATAAGTAGTTACTGATAATGGAAGTAATTATGTATTAACCTGTAAGAATTATTCTTAACTCCATATTAATATCAGTTTCTAATTATTTTATTAGTTTCTAATTTTAGACTATGCAATTTAATTTTAGGTAAGTTGTTGCAAGCTAAAAGACCACATTTGTTTTGGACTCCATGCGCCGCACACTGTATTGACTTGATATTAGAAGACATTTAAAAAATACCTAGAGTCAAGAGAACAATCCAAAGGGGAGTTACTCTTGTGGGTTTTATTTATAATCATTCATTGCTTTGAACATTATGAGGAGGTTCAAAAATAAAGCTAAATTGGTTAGATATGGAGTGACAAGGTTTGCCACAACATTCCTCACATTACAAAAGTTGCATGATAAAAAAAAACAACCTTAGAAAAATGTTCACTTTCAATGAGTGGTTAAAGTCCAAGGAAGCTAAAGGAAAAAGGGCAACAAACACTGTGCTTATGCCTTCTTTTTGGAATGATGTGGTTTTCAGTCTTAAGGCTATGGGGCCACTTGTGCAAGTTTTGAGACTTGTTGATAATGAAAGAAAGCCTGCAATGGGTTATATATATGAGGCAATTGATAGAGCTAAAGAAAGCATTCAAAGGAAATGTAGACAAATATAAGGAGATTTTTGCTATAATTGATAAAAGATGGGAGTGTCAACTTCATCATCCATTACATGCTGCAGGTTATTATCTGAATCCTCAATTTTTTTATAGCAATAAACAAATTGAGAATGATCCTAAAGTTGTGGAGGGCTTGTATAAATGTATTGAGAGGCTATGTATAAGTGAAGATGATGTAGACAATACTACAATTCAATTGTCAACATATAGAAGAGCTGAAGGTCTCTTCGGTTTAAGTGGAGCAAAAAGACAAAGGGCTACAATGGCTCCTGGTAAGAGATTTGTTTCATTTTTTTATTGTAATGTAATTATGTAGATATAACACAAAAAGTTAATAAGTTGATGTATAACTTGCAGCTGAATAGTGGAAGAATTATGGAGTACGTACACCATATTTACAAAACATTGCTATTAGAATGTTGACTTTGACTTGTAGTTCATCTGGATATGAACGAAATTGGAGTACTTTTGAGCACGTAAGTAAATATTAAGTAACTTCAATTTAAAGTTCTTATATTGAAAGTACAAATCTAATATATTTTTTTTTATGGTAAAATAGATTCATTCTAAAAAGAGAAGCAGACTTGAGCATCAAAGGTTACAAGACTTGATTTTTATTAAATATAACCAAGCTCTTAATGAACGTTTTGAGTGTTCTGACATGGTGGATCCTATTATCTTAAAGGATGTTGATGATAGTAATAATTGGTTGCTAGAAGGAATAGCTAGAGATGATGCTGTGGATGAATTAGTGTTTGATGATGATAACTTGACTTGGAGAGCTGTTACTAATGCAATTAGGGCTAGTGAGCCTATAATCTACACTAGGTGACAAGCTAGATCAAAATCCAAGACAACTACAATTGCTTCTTCATCTAAATCTAAGAGAAAAGGGAAAGAAATTGTACAAGAAGAAGAAGAATGTGATGAGGAAGACTATGAAGAAGAGGAGGAGGAGGAGGAAGTTCTTTACAAAAGTAGTGATGAAAGTGAAAATGAAGAAGACATGACAAATTTTGGAGATGAAGATGATGATAATTATTAAAATATTTGTATTTGAATTGAACACTTAGTATTTTTAAACATCTAAGCATTAGAGACTTAAATTTAGTTAGTTAAATTTATTTTTATATTTTGTTGTTATTTGTTATTGACATCTAAGCATATATATATGTGTGTAATTTAATTTATGAGTATATTTATAATACCTAAAATAGCAGTCATCCCGCTATCCGCTATGCCGCTATAACGTTTTTTAGGTCGGCCCGCTATTCGAGATTGACTACTATGCTCATGAGAGACTATTACAATATTACATAAACATTTTCTTTTAAATTGTTTTAGAAAATTATTATTATTTAATTTTTATGTACATGCATATTTTATCATAGTAATTGTGTTCAAAATAATATTTTATCTAATAAAGTAAATTTGTAAACTTTTCATTTTGACTAAATTTTTCAAAGAGAAGATGAATTTCTTTTAAAGTAATGAGTTACAAGTTACGACAAACTTTAGCTCATCCTAGTAGAATATCTATTAATAGGCCCTCAATGTTCAGTAACCTTATTTCTTTTTGTTTTTGTTTTTTGGACTTTCTGCAGCTATTAAGGAGTTAGGTATTATATTGGCTATATAATACATGTTTTGGCATTAATATTATGAAAATTTTGAATTTCGTTGGCTGTGGTTGAATCATAGACAGTTTGATTGGTTGTTACATTTTGACATGATGAATTACAAAGAAATTGCTGCCAAAATTTTGGCAAATTTTTCATACTACTTGTCAAAAAAATTTACTGTATTATCATGGTGTTGGTTTCTAAATAGACTTGTCAGTTTAAGTGGTATTTCTAGGTAACTTAGCTTGTGCGTCAGTCATGAATCCAATTCTGAGTTGTGACAGTAAAGTTGGAACACACACCCTCAAGCTCCCAAGCTGATGATATTTTGACCAAGGCACTATTGAAAACTCTGTAACAATCTAAGGTGCAAAATGGACATGAATGACATTTATTACCCAATTTGAGGGCAGTGTTTGTTATCAAGCTAAAAAACAGGAAGGCCTGTATTGGGCTGATTACTAAATTAGAGGAGAAGAAATGTCGGTTAAATGTACAACTGATATTAGGGGATTGATATCCCGTACTATATATGGCAGTTTTGAATTCTTTCCCTTTTTTGTAAATTAAATTCTTTCTAATCCCTAATCAGGATCCTGATTTGTTGTACCCTAAGGCTATTTATGACTCACGTCTCACTCAATATTGAGTGTGGAAATAAACACTTACAAAAACAAAAATGGGAAAATTGAGAGGAAGGAAAATATTGTGGTACTTTTAATTAAAAATTGTTTGTTCTTGGAGAAAATATCTAAGCCTAATACCCAAGAGGTATCTATCCATGTCCCAAGCCACACCTAGTTTTATCTTATTGGAATCATATCCAACCCACGTGCCCTTTTTAAATAATTTTAATAAATATCTAACATGTACCCAAAAGCATCAGCACCACAATGAGATCAAACGTACCAGTGAAATTATGTAGTGCATTGGCCATTTTCCTGAACAAAAGTTCTGTATGATTACAGTAACCAGCAAAGAACGTTAACTAACCTTTCTCTCTCATTCTTCTCTCTCTGTCATACTCAAATTTATCCCGAAGAAGGCCAACTTTCTCCCAGTTATCAGATTGCCTGTTTCTCCCAAAATTATGGTCCTGTACAATCCAATCATAAGAGATATTATCAATGGAAATTGGAAAATTATAGTAAACAATATCCCAACTTGAAGTAACAATTTGAAAATAATTGATCATGTAAACTTCAGATTTGCTTGGGAGGTCTAAGTCTCAGTTGACACAAAAGTTAGCCTGAGGACACTCTTACCAAAGTATAATAAAAAAAGTACTACTGAATATCATCCCTTTCCCATTCTAGATGACATGAACTAAGATTCATCCCTTTTCATTCTCTCAACAAAGAATTGGGCTTCTTAAGTTGACATTCCAACAGTCAAACCATAATTATCCACAGAACTTTGATATAACCAAAAGAATAAACTGAGGCAATACAAAATGAAAAAACACAATTCATTTCCAATGGCACTTTATTCTTCAAGGATCACTGATCACTAATCAAACAATATTCTTAGATAAAAGATAAAAACTTCACGGCATAAAAAAATACAACACATAAAATAACCTGCCATACTAATCATTTTATAGTATATTCAAATTATTCAATCGTACCTTACTATGCTCCATCTGGGTCCTTCTACCCCTGCAATGCAATAACAGATAGCACCAACATCAGACATAATCCCAACGATCTCCATCATTTAATGACTGAAGAACCTTCAAACTAAAATTTTAATGAGGCTCATCTTAAAAAAAATAAAAAATTCAATGAGGTTGTTACTCAACCAACAAATAGTGACCAGCAAAAAAATTTTGAAAACAAAATTGGGCATAAGCAACAATGCATAGCTAAAAAAGATTCTACAAAATATTTGAAGAAAAATTGTTAGACTAAGAACCAAGTAATCCCTTTATTCAGCAAGATAGTCACATCAGTAACTCGTACATATAACATTGAAAGCAATATCATTTTTTTTGAAATGAAAGCAATTATGGGTCCTAGCAGGAGGAAGTAAAAAAGCAATGGAGGCAAACCTATATGGGGAGAAATCTCCATCGTCATCTTCAGCAGACTCATAGTTTGCATGATCCTGAGCAAGCTTTCTAGAGTATCCCTCATCCCAGTAGAGTCTCTCCCAGTTTTCCCTAAGTTCATTATAAAGTTCCATATACTTTTTGCACCAAGGTTCATGCTCCTTTCAGTACAATACAAGAATTTTAGGACCACAATGAAGAGTTGAATTTCATAAAGATATATAAAACATCACAAAAATCACAAATTGATTGACTACATCAATTCTTCAATAAACAAGTCAACAATGCATCAGTATGACAAAATCAATCAAATTTCTCGTTCATGTTAAGAAAGAAAATGACCATGTAATTATGAGAATCCAAAACAAAGCATACAAAGACAATGGCACAAAATAAGTGAATCGATACTCGATAGAAACATTGTGCCTATGCTGTGTAATTCTTTTCACCTAGAAAAGATGATCTCAGAAAAAAAGTCAATAATGATATTCATACCCTTGTATAGTACCTCCACCTCTCTTTCACCTTATTTTTCTTTATCTCTTTTCCTATCACACTATATCACCTATTACATCTTACACCACTCTCTCCTCCTATCTCTGACTAGGTGTATACACTCAGTGAAAGTTAGAAAAGCATTTCCCAAAAATTTTAACCAAAATCAGCAAGTAAGTGTGAACCTATCATCAAAGACCAAGCTGAGTTATCAAATTTTAGCTATGATATATATTTTTTTACCACATTTTTTTCATGAACCAAAATTACAAAATGAAAAAAAAAAAGGAGTAAACGCTCAAGTTAATCTCCCTCGACAGTGTATGGTACAAATATTCTAGGAGCCAATAGAATTCAGAAAATGTTTTCTGTTTTTTATTTTTAATTCTTTTAATTACAAAAATAACACCTTATTTTTATTCTGTTTTCAAAGATGTGTACATTGTTAATACTTTCGTAATTAAAAATTAAAAAACAAAAACATTCTCAGAAATTAAACAACTTCTTGGTTTCTAATATTTTAAAATCTGTGTTAATCAACAATTTTGCAGTGTCACTCAATTTAGTTACTTTAAATTATATTTTTTTAATTGTCATTTTGGACTAAGGATGCGTTTGGCTACTCAGCTTAATAAAGTGTTTATTAAATAAAATCTTTTTAAATGATGATATATGTCATAAATTTAACCAAGAAATTTATTACAATAAGCCAAAAACAACGTATTTTGATAAGCTAATACCAAGACGTTTATTGAAATAAGTTAAACAAGTAATAAGCTATTTTCATGAACTCTTTTAAACTGACCCTAAAATAATCAGAAGTGAATGTAGTGTGAAGAATGTCACCAACACATTAATTTGAATACACTTTTCAACACACGATTGCGAGCAATCAAATTTTCAACAAATGTTTAAACATTTTAAAATATTAATCGATCAAAAGAAGTGTATTAAATAGCAGGCTAAAATGATGATGTTACTACTAATTCTCATGTCAAATTGAAAAAACAGTTTTTTGTAATTTCGGTAACTAAAATGTGGCAAATTAGAAAATTAAGACGATAAAAAAGGAAGGGAAAGATAAGAAACTAACGGATTCCTTAAGAACAAGGCGAGTTCGGCGCATGAACTGGTCTCTGAGTTGCTTGCGGCGTTTGTTGGGGATGTTCTCCCTGGGAATTACGAAGCGCTCACGTGGCGGCACGTGATCGCCGATCTCGTGCATTTCGCCATCCACAACCCACCACTCCGATCTCTCCTCCGTCTTCTTCAGGGCCAACGGCGCCGACTTGGGCCGCGTTCGAGCCCAGCGGCGTTGTGCCTCGTAGGGCCCACGACAGTGTGCTGTGGGGGCGTGGAGCTGAAGAAGGCGTTTCGCTAGAGAGAGCATCGAAATAGAGAACAGACAGTGTGACTCTCTCACAGTGCTTGAAGCATTGCTTCATTCAGGTTCTGGTTGCTTGTTTTATTCACTCCATTATTACTGCGTTTATGGCCAATGTTGCACCTTTTCTTTTTAGTTTTGTGTTTTTTTTTATTCCTTTACTTAATATTTTTGAATTCTTAAATTGAATTCATTAATATTTGTATAAATTAAATTAATAAATTTTATTTTTACTCAAAGTTTACTTACTTAACAAAACTTTTTATTTCATTCAAAGTTAAAACAATTCCTTTTTTAAATATTAATATAGTATCTTATAGAATTCTTTAAATATTATTACTTTTTAAAAAAGATATTTTAAACTTTTAAAATTACTTAGTATCGTAATTTTCCATAAACTCATAAATATTAAGAAAAAATTAAAAATCTAGGTAGAAAAGTAAATAATAAATTATTAAATTTATTTAATTTTAAAATAAAAATACATAATTGATTAAATAATTTTAAAAATTTAAAATTACACACAAAATCCAAATGAAATAGGATAAAAAGTGCAATTAGACTCAATTTGTTTAGAATTTTATTAACCTAAAAGGAGTTTAAGAATTTAGAAAGAAGTTTTATTTATTTATTGAGAAGTAACATATTTATTACATTAAAGTTATAAAGTATAATAAATATATTTTTTAATATAAATTTACCACTTTTAAGTGTTTAAACTTAACTTTAAAGATTAAGATTAATATTTTTAATAAAAATTATGGATAACTGTATTTTAATCTTTTTATTATGATTAAAGAGTAATTTCATTTTCGCGTTAACCTTTTATTTAAATTTATTTTATCATATTTTAAATTGTTACACAGAGCACCAGACTTTTATTTACTACTCAAATAATGATATATTTAAGATAAACTTGACGTTAAAAAAATAATTTAAAAGGTCTAAAACTTAAAATTTGATGAAAACTAAAAAGTAACTGAAGTATGTAACGTTAAGGTTTCAAAAATACAAAAGTATGAAAAATTTTAATTTTGGGTAAAATATAATATTTTAATTGATGAGTTTTGAGTAAAAAAAAATTTAAACTAGTTCAATAATTTTGGTTCATTGTAATTTTTTTTAAATGAATATGAAAAGTTGAGAATTTTAAATAAAATAAAAATAAATTATTCTAAGAATTAAAAAAAAATTTAATTGACAACTTTATTTCGTTATTCTATATTTTATTTTGACAATGCAAAAGAGGATAAATTGTGAATATTATTTCTTACAAAAGGATTTAAAAAGATTTATTTTTAAATTATTTACTATATGATTACTTTTGATAGAAGATATACAAAGTCTTTTTTTTTTTTTTTTTTGAATTTTCTTATAAAATGCTTTCAAGTATTAAAAACCTCATTCTTTTGGGTTAGAAAGTTAAGCCATGTTATTATAATATAGTTGACTACTATAACAACATCATACTTTTTACTTATAAAACTTATTATATATTAATAATTACAAACATATTCATGTGTAACGGTTTTAGTGGTCCTTATAAATATTTTTTTAATTAAAAATAGTTTTAATTGTCTAGATGTAGAAGCAATATTTTTTAATTTAAAAGTATTTTATTTATTTATTTTTTATTATGACACACTTTATATAAAATATCATTCTTAAGGGATATTTCAACCAATCATTTTGCAAGACATTTCTTACAAAATTTTGAAACATGTTTTAAACTAACATGTCCGTGCCTTTTATGTTAAATCTATTTTTCATCATTTTTTGAAAATAAATATGTTACACATTGATCATTTGATCTTTCAATGAAATTTTATAAATATTTTATATCTTTTACAATAAAAAAATAGATCTATTTAATTTCTATATTATACATCTTTATATATTAAATAATACGTTAAATTTACTATCATAAAAATACTCACACTAACTAGGTAATGTTTGAGTTATTTAACATAAAGGACATTATTTATGGTTAGTGAAAGTTTCTTGTCAACTTTATCTATACCAATGATATGATCATGTTGGTTGCCTCCATAGGCAATTGTTCCTCCTTTTTAAGTTGTTGTAGGTCTAAGAACATAAATTTTTCCCTTGTCATTTATCATAAACAATCACCATGTAGGTATCATTTTAGTTATTATGTCTTACTTCTTGTTGAAGATATCTTTATAACAGGAATAATTTGATATTTAGCTACGAACATTTTTTTGGGTCCTTTGTTGTTAGTTTGTATAATATTTGATCTTTGTTTTTTTTTGGGGTAACAATTGAGCATAATATAACATAATTTACCATAAAAAAGTAGAAGAAACACTTAAAGAAACATATTTTTTCTTATAATGCTTCTCATTCTTGTGTCTAAATCTTAAACTAAATTTGTTGCTAAATGTCTTTGATTTTTTAAATTCAAAATTAACTTAGACATTTTATTATCAAGCTAGCTAGTTTATAAGTTCATAAAATTTTTTCTGTAGTTGATTGACTTGATTGGTCAATTGATCTTTGAAAAGAATCTTAACTTTATCAAGATAATTAGTTAATAACTTACTTTCTTCAGCAAATTTAATATTCTTTTATGTTATTTCTTCCAATCATTTTTCTTTGTTTTTGAGCTTAGAAGTCAACTCTTCATTTTTCTTTTTAAGTTCATAATATTTGAAGAGATCAGTTGAATCATAAAGAAGTTAATATGCATATTCTAATTTCAAATGGTTCATTAGTTACCTTTTCTTCTAATTCGTTGTCAATATTGGTCATCAAGTTATGTGGAATTGTTCACATGCATCACTATCGCTATCTAATGACTTGCTATCCATGTCTTCTATTGTTGATTAAAGACCCTTCTTTTTAAAGAACTTCTTATTGTCTTTCTTCACGTTTGGAAAATATACTTTAATGCAACTAAGTTTTTTACACTCATAAATCATATTATAATTTTTTAGAAGAACTTTCTTTAGAGTGTTTCTTACTCTAAGTGTTATTTATGTGACTTTGCTTCTTCACCTTTCTTTTTTCACATCTTCTTAATGCATCTGGTGATGAATGACAATTCATTGTATGTTTCGCTTTTATCTCTAGACTTTTTCTAAGTCATTTGAAAAATCTTCAACTTTTAGTTAATTTAAAGTTGTTAGATTTTCATACTGACTTGATCTTAGAGTAATTAATTTACCCTTTTTCTTGAGTTAAAAGGATTCTTGGAGCTCTAACTTGTGAATTCTGAAAGAACCCATCAAGTCATTAAGTTTTGTTGAGTATAAATCCTTTACTTCTTGGATGGTTGTGACCTTCATTTATATCCTTTCCAAGAGCTTTCAAGTTGTTAATTATGATTTGAAATCTATCAATCAGTTCCTCAATAGTTTCTTCTTCAATTATCTTGAACATCTTCTACTGATAAGTCACCATATTTATCTTTATTTTTCTCACTTGCTTTGTTCCTTCATGAACGAGTGCAAAAGTTTCTCACACTTCTTTGCAGTTTTGTATCCACAAAATTTATCTTATTCATTCCTAGCAAGAGCATAGGTAATAAGATACTTGACATATGCATTTAATTTGATTTATTGTCTGCTTATAGTCTTTTTATCTATTGGCTTTTGCTTTCATCCTTAGAAGTTTTATAGCATCCCTTTGTTATGACTCCACATAAAATACTATGTTGATTCAATGAATAATTTTAGAGGAAATCACCATATTAGTTCCTATCATTTTAAGACTTTGCCAAAATAGTCTCCAAGTGTTTAATCTTGAAATGTTCCGATTCATTCCTATCAACAACTTGTTTTGATTTCTCATGTTTTCTAGATGTTTCTTTCTTTTTTTGCAACTACTTATTTGATATTTTAGCCAAAAGTTAAGCTTTGATACCAACTAAAAAAAAAACCACATACACAACGGGAAGTCCAAATTGATTTTTTTCACATTTTTTTTTTTATAAAATTTGCAAGTAGATCAAATGCTTTATTAAATAACCATCAATTATTAAAATAAATGACATATTTTATAAATATTGATAATTTATTATAAGCTTTTAAAAATACAAGCTCATTAATTAAAAAGATAAAGAGAAAAAATAAAGAAAAAAATCAAGAATTTTCTTAGTTTACTATCGATAACTTATTAAGAATTTTATTTAAGAAGTACTTTAAATGGATACAAATTATATCACTCTTCAAGTATTCATGACAAGTTTTTTTTTAGGGTAAAAAATCACAATTATTCTTTCTAATTTTCAAGCAACAATCTCTCAAAAATAAAAAAATAAAAGAACTTTAAGAATATAAAAAAATATACAAGTAAATTCAATGATAACTAAAAATGCTAGAACATTATTTTATTATAAGTTAGTTTGTATATAAACATTTTGCATAAGTGAATGTTTCCTTTTATATTACTATAGATTTTTTTTTAAACATTAAAGACATTTATATATTTGTTGAACATAGAGTACTTTCTTATGAAAAGTTGATGATCAAAATAACGTTTTATACCTTAGCAATATTTTAAGCATTTCTCTTTTACCTTTTTTTTTTTTTTTCGTCAAAAAGGTAGTTAACACATTGAATAAATAAGAATATACTTTTATCCTATTTGTTAAAAAATGAATCTTTAATCTTGAGCTGAATCTTGATCTTAGTCAACCATTTAAGTTTATTTGATATTTTTTGAAGTGTATTATTGATATGTTAAATAAGTAATTTCTCTTGAGTGTAGTCAATAATATTGTTTCTTAAATTCTGTTAGATAGACTATTACATACATATATATATATATATATATATATATACTAGTTTGGTGAGAATCGATACCGTTCTTATTTAAAGATAAAAACAGACATGATGAAAATGATGATATATTGAATTTTTGATAAAACTTACAATATTGAAATACAAACTTCTTGTAAACTTCTCAAATAGACTTCAAGACTATTACAATTAGAGGGTTTTCTTAAGGATATTGAGGGTAGTAAATTTGCTCGTGCTTTCAAATGAAGTAGAGCTTACAATTTATAAGAATAAGAATTACTATTCTAAGATTCTAAATAATAATTCTTCTTTTGTCACTTATTCTTTATGTCGAGTCTTTTGTC